TATTCTGTCCATGGTATTGTGATGAAAACGAGCCCATCAGCTCATCTTCAGGGGAGAAATGTTGGTTAATGTGAGAGTAAGCCCTACCATAGGGAATTTTTACATTTTACCCTATAAGTAATTTTTTTTTTTTACACAAGATGTGTAGTTTGGCTGTTGTATGTTTACTTCATGTTCATATTTCAGGGATTTTCAAAGTCTGTACCCACCTCCATAATCTATATTTTCAGAAGTAGTACATTGAAAAAAATGGCAGTCACATACCATACAACAGTGGGGTTTTCCCACTTTGAGTTTCTAAGCATCATCGTAGGATGCCTGATCAACCTACCTACCTGTTTACTGTTTATCCTCTTCCCATCCTCTTCATCCCACTGTTCTCTTACCATCCCCTTCATCTTTACATCCCGACAATAAAGTCTAGCTCAAAGTGTGGAGTGGTCCATGTTGGTGAATTGTTTGTTTACATTCAGCCCATATAAATTGTTTGCAACCACTCAAAAAAAAAAAAAAAAACTAAAAAAAAACTAAATCCAATGTTTTTTTTGTGTGTAATTGTGTAAATAAGTTTTAAAGTGTGGATTTACATCTTTGATCATTGGATGTTAAATGAATCATTTTGTTTTCAATGTCCGTTCAGCGATGGTCTGTCACATCAGCCTATGACATTTGTTGAATCTGGGAGACACTTTGCCGCAGTGAGCGTTTTAGTGGGTGAGGATGTCAGTTTCCATAACAGAAAAGCTGATGAAGAAGTTTTCAAAGATGATTGGACAGAGAGGTAAAGGCATTTAATTTTTTGCTCCAATGATAATACAACAAGAACTGTTGGAGATGTAAAGAGTTTAAATGAAAACACCAATATGAAACAAAACTTATTATAATAATACAAGCATTATTATGTTATTTTGTTCATTAATTCCTTTTCTTATTGGCTTAGTCCCTTTATTAATCTGGGGTCGCCATGGTGGAATGAATTGCCAACTTATCCAGCATATGTTTTACGCAGCGGATGCTCTTCCAGCTGCAACAAAATACTGGGAAACCCATTCACTCTTGCATTCACACTTATACACTATGGCCAATTTAGCTTTTTTAATTTACCTACACCGCAAGTCTTTGAACTCTGTGGAAATTGGAGCACCAGAAGGAAACCTACAACACCACAGGGAAAACATGCAAACTCCACACAGAAATGGCAACTGACCCAGCTGAGGCTCAAATCAGCGACCTTCTTGCTGTGAGGTGATCTTGCTAACCACTGCACCACCATGTTGCCCTATACTACATTATATTCATTTATTCATTTTCTTTTAGGCATATTCTTTTTATTAATCTAAGGGTTGCCACAGCGGACTGAAATTCCAACTTATCCAGCATAAATTTTACGCAACAAAAGTCCTTTCAGCTGCAACCCATCACTGGGAAACATCCAAACACACTCATTCATACACATATGCTACAGTCAATTTAGCCTACCCAATTAACCTATACCACATGTCTTTAGACTTTGCAAACTGGAGCACTCGGAGTAAACCCACATGAACATGGGGAGAACAGCAGTGTCATCATTAGTTGATACAGTAACTCTGGAGAGGCACAGAAGGAGGCATAAAATGAGCCAGACTGTCCTCAAATCACTCTGCTCTCAAATTGGACGATATTTCTAGTTTGCATGTACTGTTAAATACAAAAATGTATGATACTTAATACAACTACTGTAGTCTTAATGGAAAACAACTGATGATGAACAAAAATTTATCCCGATCCATCGTTTTACTACTGCACGTCATGGTTTTGCCAAGTACAATGCGATCCTAGATGAACATCTATGTTGAAAAACATCAATTTTGTTTGAAAATGTAGTCCATACCTGTTCCTTACCTCTAAACCTAACCATAACTGTAAATTATTCCCAAAATCAGGGGGTAATAATAGTTAAATAACAATCATGTAGAAGTGCTTAGAGCTAACCGTAAACCTAAACAACATAAACAGTAAATGTATTCCTTAATTCTGATTGGCTAATTGGAATGTTGTTCTAGTCCTACTTTGCGTTGTTCATGTCCTACTTGGTGAAATCAGGTTGGTGAGTGATGACAACTAATCTGTGTCATGGAAGGCAAATGGTTAATTTATGATTTGATTGTTTACGCTAAAAACGGTATAGCCTCCTAATAAATCTTATAGGAATAATTCACCCCAAAATTAACATTTAATAATTTACTCATCCACCACTTGTTCTAAACTAGTTTGAGTTTCTCTCTTTATTTTCCAGTTCTTCCATCAAAAGCAAATGATAATAATCTGAAGAATGCTGGAAAAAAGTAGCAATTGACTTCCATAGTATTTGTTGTTCTAACTATGGATGCCAATGGGTACTTTGTACTAACATAAAGGTTTAGAACCACATTTGTGTGAGTACATGGTAAAGAAATGTTTATTTTTGGATGAAGTATTCCTTTATTCTGCACTTTAATGAAATATACACTCACTTGCCAATTTATTGGGTCCACTTTTTTTTAGTACTGGGTTGGACCTCTCTTTACTTTCAGAACTGCCTTAATTGGTCGTAGCATAGATTTAACCAGGTAATCCTCTGAGATTTTGGTCCGTATTGACATGATCACACATTTGCTGCAAATTTGTCGGCTGCACATCCATGATGCAAATCTTCCATTCCACCACATCCCAAAGGTGTTCTATTAGATTGAGATCAGGTGATTGTAGATGCCATTTGAGTGCAGTGAACTCATTGTCATGTTCAAGAAACCAGTCTGAGATGATTAACGCTTTATGACATGGTACATTATTCTGCTGGAAGTAGCCATCAGAAGATGGGTACACTGTGGTCATAAAGGGAGGACATGGTCAGCAACAATACTCAGGTAGGCTGTAGCGTTGCCACAATGCTCAATTTTTACTAATGGACCCAAAGAGTGCCAAGAAAATATCACCCCCACTATTACACCACCACCAGCAGGCTGAATCATTGATACAAGGCAGTATGGATCCATGCTTCATTCATGATGTTGATGCCAAATTCTGATCCTACCGTCAAAATGTTGCAGCAGAAATTGAGACTCATTAGACCAGGCAACGTTTTTCCAAACATCTATTGTACAATTTTGGTGAGCATGTGTGAGTTGTAGCCTCAGTTTTCTGTTCCTAACTAGAGTGGCTCCCGTTGTGGTCTTCTGCTCCTGTAGCCCTTCAGTCTCAAGGTTCAATGTCTTGTGCGTTCAGAGATGCTCTTCTGCATTCCTTGGTTGTAACGAGTGGTTATTTGTGTTATTGTTGCCTTTCTATCAGCTCAAACCAGTCTGGCCATTCTCCTCTGACCTCTGACATCAACAAGGCATTTGTGCTCACAGAACTGCCGCTCACTGAATATTTTCTCTTTTTCTGACCATTCTCAGTAAACCCTAGAGATGGTTGTGGGTGAAAATCCAAGTAGATCAGCAGTTTCTGAAATAATCAGACCAGCCCGTCTGGCCTCAACAACCATGCCATGTTCAAAGTCACTTAAGTCACCTTTCTTCCTCATTCTGATGCTCGGTTTGAACTGCAGCAGATTATCTTGACCATGGCTACATGCCTAAATGCATTGAGTTGCTACCATGTTATTGGCGGATTAGAAATTTGTGTTAACGAGCAGTTGGACATGTGTACCTAATAAAGTGGCCAGTGAGTGTAATATTGTCAGAATATCTCTAGAATGTTTAAAAAAGCTTCGGTGTAGACTTAAATTATAGCCAAAGGGGCAAGTTGCCAAACAGCTAAACCCTCTTGGTTAGTGGCAGACTAAAATAAAAAAAGCTCTCTTGGATCCATCCTCAAGAAACACTAAGCAAACAATTTACATAGAATTATTTCTTTGCACTTTAGAGAAAACTGCTAAGTGACAATGCTGTGTCAACACACTATTTAAACATGCTCTCTTTCATAACCTCCCGCCCCAGATCCGTCACCACTCTTTGCTCTGGGACTTCATGTTTTATGAATAAAGTACTGGCTGTAGACATTTATTTTCTTGAAAACTGTTAGAACTTGCGCTGCTGCTCAGTGTGATGTGCTTCATACCTTGCAATATTGGTATATAATATTTATTTAAATAAATGTTTGTATGAACCTAAATAGTATCTCTAATGTCACATGATTCTTCAGAAATTATTTTAATATATCCTGATTTGCTGCTGGTGCAACACGGTGGCTCAATGGTTAGGTTTGAGTCCCGACTGGATCAGTTGGCATTTCTGTGTGGGGTTTGCATGTTCTCCCTGTGTAGCCGTGGGTTTTCTCTAGGTGCTCCAGTTTCCCCTATAGTCCAGACATGCGCTATAAGTGAATTGAATAAGCTACATTGGCTGTATTGTGTATGTGTGCCAATGTGTGAATACAAGAGTGCATGGGTATTTCCCAGTGTTGGATTGCGGCTGAAAGGGCAACTATATGCTGGATAAGTTAGCGGTTCATTCTGCTGTGGCAACGGCTGATTAATAAAGGGACTAAGCCAAAAAGAAAATGAATGAATGACTGATTTGGTGCTCTGGTACTGGAAGCAGATGTGGTGCTTCATATTGTTTGGGTTTACCATGACACACAATCATTTAAAGTTTTTAATTAAGTTAATAATTCATATAAATTCCGAATAAGAACCATTATTAATAATTGAGTACCATGTATAACATAATAGCTGAACAGTTTATGATCACTAGTGTCGGCTCTTGAAAAAGTGATGGCTTTTAAAAATTCAGCTCTTTCATCACAGAAATAAATTACATTTTAAAATGAATTCAGTTGAAAAAGAAGAAAAATAAATAAAACTTGTGGCCTGGTACTATATAAAATGCATATATTATGCATAAAAAATGAAAGCAGGGATCAAAACAATAATAAAAAACTGCTTAAATATTTTGCAATCTATGAAGCAGATGAGATATTTAGCAGTGAATGTTTATTTTATTATACTTTATTTTTATTTCACCCTCTGTGTTCTGAGGAATTAATCTGTTGCATTCTAAATGAATGAACGTCCAGTGAGTTCTGAATGGACGTGAAACAAGTCACATGACAGAGGATGCATCATCCAGATTGGTGGCTGTTGCGTAGTGGCAGCCATGTTGATTTGTGATTCACGCAAACATTCACACAGCGACTCAAATGACTTGCAGTCTTGACAGACAGGTGAGTAATATATTGGCAGATTAATTAAAATGTAGGTTTACAGAGGCACAGTTTCATTTCCAATCCAAGAAGATGGCCTTCGGCAGTATGTAATCCTGTTTCACACCGCATTTATTATGCTAACAGGGAGTGTTGTGATTTCACAATAAATGTTTCTCAGCAGACTACAGTAACGTAAACAGTGATTTCACGCTTATTAGAAAGTACCTTATACAGGAATGCTATCCTTATCCTATTAAAGAAATTATATTTTCCAACCTTTTAATAAGAATTAATTAAGACAATTAGAAGCAAGTATTTAACATTTCCTCTTCCTCCAAATAAGGAGTAAGTTACATTTTAAAATGACGTATGATATTTATCCTGCAAAGGAGTGTCTGAGAAAAATTGTAATGTGAATTATAATGTTTGCCAATTCCGCAAGCGATATTGAAACTGTTGAACATATTTCTTCGTTGTAACTTGGTTTATCCTCTGTGGTCTGATGTGGGCAACTGGATGAAAACAATATATTTCAATGTTTCCTTCTATTTGTTGGGACATTGTAAAATTTGGAGTACATTTGAACAACAAAGATGATGACTTGACTGCAAATTGTTTACTTATTTCACTTAAATTCTTCTAAATTTTGAAGACAACTCCTCAATTGATTGTCTTTAAAAAGGAGTTTGCCACCTATGTAGAGACTTTAAAAGAAATGGAGGGTGAGAAGGCTAAACAATTTTATGATTTGTTTCAAAAGAATATGGTTTTATTTGACCCCTTACAGCACAGGTCACCAATCCCGGTTCTGGAGGGCCGGTGTCCCTGCAGTGTTTAGCTCTAACTTGCGTCAACACACCTGCCTGGGTGTTTCAAGTATACATAGGCTGTTTCTCAATTCAAAGAATGCAGAGAACAGACTTGTGTTCTTGTGGAGACCGGTCTTGCCGGGTGTCCTCTGAAGAACGAACTTAGGAGACCGCGAGGGCAGAGAACGCGTCCTTTGAAAATTGAAATGCTGCGTTCTTCCTGATGGTCACATGGCCTTCATGTGTTTTAAATGGTAAATTATTTAAACTTTACAGCCTTCATACAACGATTTATTGTTTTTCCCCTTTTCAAAATATATACTATGCATAAAAACATTATAAATATATGTTGCACAATATAAATAAAACAGTTTTTAATACGAATTTCAGCAAACAAACACCCTCAATGTGTTTATTCCTTTATTAAGATGTCCATGGTAATGTTTATATTCACCGTTTCATTTAGGGAAACTCCTGAGGTAAATAAGTTAAATCTCTAAACTTTAATAATAAATCTAAATAAAATGCAGCCCTTCCCACCTCCAGTCGCAATGACTTCTGGGACTTCCAGAGCGAGTTCGGTGCTCAAGTCTGCATCGTTGCGTCCTCGATATCAAGATTACATCCGGGAAGTTTCACGCGTCCTCCGTACTTGCGGTCTTGAGTATTGGAACTGAACTTAGGCAGCTGTTGATGACGTTGCACGAGAACACGAGGATGCAAGACAGCTGAAGAACGCATATTGAGAAACAGCAATTGTAAGACCTAGATTAGCTGGTTCTGGTGTGTTTGATTGGGGTTGGAGCTAAAATCTGCAGGACACTGGCCCTCCAGGAACAAGTTTGATGATCCCTGGCTTACAGAGGTTCTGTTTGATGTCTGCACATTTTTAAATACATTTTTCTTTGCTTTGTGTTATTGTAAGGGTTTATATTTGATTCATGTATATCTGTCTCAGTCAGTTTGTGAAAGATTATGTTGGAATTGAGTTTGGCCAAAATTGTTATGTTTTTATATGGCAAAAAAAAAAAAAAAAAAAAAAATATATATATATATATATATTATTATTATTATTATTATTATTATTATTATTATTATTATTATTATCTGGAAACATTTCTTTTTATTATACAACATCCCAAAGTCACTGTAATGAATAGTGAAGTCATTATGATAAAGATTATCACCACAAGAACATAATGATAAGTCAGTATTAACATTATTAAATGGATAGTTTGTCTAAAAGTGAGTAAATAAATAAATAAATAAACAAACAGAAATTTCTGGAATAGCATGTTGCATATTTCATTGCATAACATCCATAAATTATGGAATAGTGAAATGTGTGGACAATTAAAAATTATTACAATCTCAATTGTTTTGAAATATAGCTGAGAAGGAGGTTGATCATATTTACATCTAAATTAAGTTATACTTGAATGAATTAAAAAACAGGTGCATATTTTACTCCATTGTTTTATGTTACTTTATAAAAGCCTTTAAATAAATAGGTTTGCAGTGAATTGCAAATGTGATGAATTTAATGCACTAATATAGGCTCAGTGGTAAAATTCCCCTGGCACCAAAGTGGTGAAGTGTGCATTGTGAAGCCTGCAAGCCAATAATATTCAAATATTAAAAGAAATGATATGCAGTTTATGCTAATTTTGCAAGCGGTGTGAAACAGGCCTGAGGGATCCTTATTCATGCAGTCTTAAAACTGGATGTAATTTTGTTAAATTTTTGTTAAATCGCACACAATAAATCACAGTTAGTGTTTTAATGCCAATTAACTACTCTAGTCAATTAATTATCATTTAAATGCAGCTACATATAATATAGAGTTAACTACATACTATAATAGAGTAGCTTGTGGAGCCTGACTGCATGTGAGATGCGTTGCACCCACATTTTGGCTTGAGCCTGTGATAAAAATACATAATCTCTCTGTTTTCTGTGCATGACAGATTGTGCTGAGCTATTGCCAATACACATTTCATATGGTTTTGTTTCTCTTCTTGAATTCTTCCACCTTCTATGTTTCTCAATTCTTTCGAAGGACGGCAATTCACCCACACACCATCAACCAAGTGAATGACTATCTGAACTCGGCTCGGCTTCATCGCTCTCAGTGGTGAAGATGGATTGCATTCGTAGAGATGAAGAGCGGGAGAAAAAAGTATGGGTGAGAGCCAGAATACTGTGAGGTCAAGCATAGACCAAAATGAATATGTAAAAGTTTGCATGTCAAACCAGGCGTTCGCTTAATTCCACGGTCCTTTTATAATTTCACTGTGAATTGAAGTAAATCTGACAGACCCCATTAATACCTGATTTAAACATCCGACTTCCTTTTGTGCTGGTCGTTTCTAACTCTCTCTCTATCTTTATCTCTCTAATAGTTTAAAACATCTGGGGTTTTTAGAGCGAGTCCATGGGAAAAGATCTCTCGGCAAGGAAAGACGTTTTATCATTTGGAGAAATGAATGCACTGCATGATCCTCCTCACTCACTGTTTAGGTGAGAAATGTTCATTTTTGCAAAGCCAGAAACATCTTTCTGTGTCGTTGGCAAATTTATAGTTTTAACTAACAGCAGGGTTTTCACGGGTCGGTAAATTTCTGGAACATCAAGGAATTTTTAAAAGTTCCATTCCAAATACTATATGTCAGAAAATATTCTAAGTCATGGAAAATCTGAATATTTTTTGCTTGTCGCTTTACAGTAAATGTTACTTTCCATTTATCAACACACACATTTGTATTTTTTCTTGTTGTTGTTGATGTTTCATACGTATTGTAATGGTAATTCTATTTTTCAGCTCCATTTTATTCCTCTCACGCTAATCAACTTGGAGCCACTTAAGTTAAATGCAGACTGTACACTCTAAATTAAATAAATAAATGAATGGTACAATGTTGTACCAGGTGAGGCAGTGGCGCAGTAGGTAGTGCTGTCGTCTCACAGCAAGAAGGTCGATGGTTCGAACCCTGGCTCAGTTGGCCTTTCTGTGAGGAGTTTGCATGTTTTCCCTGCCTTCGCGTGGGTTTCCTCTGGGTTCACAGTCCAAAGACACGCGGTACAGGTAAATTGGGTAGACTAAAATTGTTCGTAGTGTATGGTGTGTGTGAATGTGTGTGTGGATGTTTCCTAGAGATGGGTTGCGGCTGGAAAGGCATCCGCTGCGTAAAAACTTGCTGGATAAGTTGGCGGTTCATTCCGCTGTGGCGACCCCGGATTAATAAAGGGACTAAGCTGACAAGAAAATGAATAAATGAATGTTGTACCAAAGAAGGTACAAACCCTTTTCACTGGGGCAGTACCTTTTTATGGAATAGAATTGTCCTTTAGACAAAAAAAAAAAGTACATTTGTGCCATTGCAGTTTGTACCTTTTAAGGACATGATTTGTACCATGGGAAACAAAAATGTACCTTTTGGTTTTTAAAACCTGCAGTTACAATATTGTACCTTCACCAAAAGTACAAATCTAATCCATGAAGGAACCACTACAGTGAAAAGACACTTTGTTCCTTAACAAATTCAAATTTGTTCCTTCAAGAACTATTTAAAGGCATTTCACTTTATGCTAAATGCATCAATTTATTTTCAGTAAATATAAAACATCAAATAAATGTTTAAACAAAGTTTCTTTTTTGTGTCAATGCACCATTTCCATTTACAATAAATAATAAAAATTAATTTAACACAAATCAAAAGATCTTTTTTTTTGCTAAATGCAACACTTCACAAAAAGTAACAGAAATGCATTGCCCCATGTACAATATAAAACTATTTTTTTTCTCCAATTTTCTTACAATACCTTTGCAATCACTTAAAAGTTCATTTAATTTATTTAATTTTAAAATAGAAATAGAATAATGCAAAAGCATTGTATTGAGATATGCACAATGTTTGATTACTTTTACAATACTAAAATGTCTGCATGAACACTTTGCATATAACAAACTTTTGCCGGCTCACGTGCTTAGTGGAAAGCAAATGCCAAAAGGTGTGGATATCAATAATGAAAATGTATTTATCAGAAAATGCTCATGAAAAATACCTTAAATGTTTAGATTACAATACCTATAGTGTTGTTTTACCAGTTGTTTCATATTATAGAACTTAATAATTTATGTTTATATGTTTCTTTAAACATGCTTTTAAATGATGATTCAAGTTTTAATATGGAAATTATTCATCAAATAACTTTGGCTTTCCAATAATATTTAATTTCATAACAAGGAAAAAGTTGTTTAACTCTTATGTACCTTTTTTATGAGAACAATTGTGCACCTTCATTTCAATTGTACCATAAAAGGTACAGAACAGTATCATAAGAGGGTTTTTCCGTACAATATAAGGTACAAATTTTTACTAAAATACAAAATTGTTTCTTAAGGAACATTATTTATACCACTGTACCTTTTTTCTGAGAGTGTACCAGATTGTACCTCTTAATTAAGCCGAAAATGTCAAGATAATATACATTTTAAGAGCATTGTCTTTAAAATAATTACTTCAAAACGGGATGTTAATATACAGGACTGGTATATTAACATGGAATAGTATAGAGGGCAGCAAAGCTAAATGTAAAATCTGTAAAACTAATAATAAGTTATCAAAATGGGAGATGGAGCACTACACAGACACACAAACAGTTAGTTTGATGTCCCTATTTGCTGCTTATAAATGTATGTGAGAAGCTTATGTAGTACTTCCAAGTCAGATGTTTGTTAATATAACATCACTCTACTAAAAGTTTCGCAATAAGCATGTTAAGAATGAAATGCTTGTGCACAGCACATAAAAAAGTTTTAAACTCTCCAAACCTAACTACACTTACATAGGTATTTAATATCTACATCAACGTAACATGAATTTACTTATATGGTGAAGAATACAGGGTGGCACAGAGGCTCAGTAGTTAGCACTGTCGCCACACAGCAAGAACGTTGTGGGTTCGGGTTCTGGCTGGGCCAGTTTGCATTTCTGTGTGGAGTTTGCATGTTCTCCCCGTGTTCACGTGGGTTTCTTCCAGGTGCTCCGGTTTCCCCCACAGTCCAAAGACATGTGCTGTAGGCAAATTAAATAAACTAAGGCCGGTTTACACTAATACGTTTTAGTTTTAAAACAGCATTTTAGAATGAAAATGATTCGTGTCACCTAGCTTTTCTGAACAGCTCTCTGTCCACACTACACCACTGAAAACGCAATTCACAGTGCATGCGTCTGAGCTCCAGGGAGTTAACATGGGTGCTTTGAGTGCATCTACCCTGTCGGACAGTTCATCAAGGATCTTCCTTCAGATCTAATCTCACTATATTTGTTAATCGTGATATTAAATTCATATATCACATATTTCCTGACTTTGGTCGTTTGAATTTATTACTTATTCGCAGGTAAAATGCTTGGCTGAGCGCAAAGATAAGTTAATATATTAATTAATGTAAACGCATACACTGATTCTGCATATTTGACAGATTGCTTGCCTTAATTTCCTATAATGTATAAACTTATTGTAAATTAGACTTTCATAATGGCCATTATTGATTTATTAAAGCTGAAATTCAACAAAAATTTTATATTTTCAATGAAAATGAAAGAAGGCAGTAGTGTTATAGGCTCTGTTTTGTTATAAATATGCATACAGTGAAGATGATATAAATATGTATCTACATGACGCCTCAACATTTTTGGTGTCTCTTAAGTTGCTAATTTCAAAATAAAACTAGGCAGTTCTATTATAATTTTATTAAGAAAGTGAAACAACGTAGCCAGGGTGATATAAATGAGGTTATGAAGTACACTGTTCTCTTTAAAGATTTACCCAACGTGTCCTCGGGAGTTTGTTTTCCATATCAAACTTGCGAAGTCTGAACTTACTAGGAGAAGATGCAAGACTGAACTTTGTGCACCTAATATTGAGGTAAAAGCTACAATCAGATAGACTAATGTCTGCAGCCCCACTTCCATTTTCAGATGTCTTCGTTTTCCCACATCCACACTTGATGCAGCAGCAGCAGTGTTTTAAAATGAAAACGGCCTCTCCAGCGTTTTCAAAAAGTTCATAGTGTGGACAGATGGCCTAACCACAGCAAAACTTATGCATTTTAAAACTAAAATTGACCATAGTATGTGAATGAGTGGGTGTTTTCGAGTACTGGGGTGCAGCTGAAAGGGCATCCGCTGTGTAAAATATATACTGGAATAGATGACGGTTCAATCTGCTGTGGTGACCTCTGCAATAGAAACTAAGCCAAAGGAAATGTAAAGTATACATGTTCATTTGTCAAAACTCGCTATTTTACAGTAAATTTTATAATACATTTTATAGAGTAGGGTTTCCATATTGTTTCTAATCAACATGTTACATTATCACAACTCCTGAATTAAGAACATTTCTAGAATCTAAAATCTTTCTTCTTGTACTGTTAATACAATATTTTGTTTTAATATTGAATTAAAATATGCATTACAGGACTTGCATTCTTTTGTAAGGATGTTTCTTGTTTGCTCTGGTTGTTGTATGTGAAAATTCAGAACATCTTGATCTCGCATGGAAATATCTTTCTTCATTTTGTAAATCTTTAACTAATTCTTATAAATAATCCCAAACTTAGAAAGCTTATAATATCTTGTTTTTATAAAAAAGACCTGGCATTCAAGGGATGGTTCACCTAAAATTGATATTGTATAAATGTATTCATTCTCACGTGGTTCCAAGAGTTTGAGTGTTTTCTTTTATTTTGTTGAACACAAAAGAAGATATATTAAAGAAAGCTGAAAATCTGTAACTATTGACATCTATAGTCGGAAAAACAAATACCAAGCAAGTCAACAGTTACAGGTTTCCAGCTTTGTTCAAATATCTATAGGTAAAGAATAACAGAATTTAAAACTATCCCTTTAAACTTATCCACAACCAAAGCTAAATCGAATTATTGCAAACTATATAAAGGAGTCTAGTGTGAATGTTAATACCTGGTGTAAAAGTGGTCAGAACCCCACATGCACGTGTGTTTTTATTAGCGGTATTTTTGCCGAAGCATGATGCGGGACATGTTTGATAGACACTTATGAATATGCAATAAGACAGATCTCAGGAGACATGGCCCCACAACTTCGAACTGGGCTCCCTTTTACACCCTTCTAAACAAATATTTGCATATTCATAAATATTTCAGCACTGACCTAGAACTAGATGTTGCGTTTTGGAGAGACTCTAAGAAGACCTATTATACCAAACAGATGCGAGGATTCGCAACAAGGGAGAAATGAATAATTGAATCAGCTGTACTCTTTACTAGATTTAACCCTAACCACTCCAGAATAATAAGAAAGAAAGAGGAATAAATACGAAATGCTATTTGACCATCATGAATAACCACAAGAGGACAGCTGGCCATCTATCACCCGGGAAATCAAATCACTGTGGCTGGAAACACTCTGCCGGCTGCATATAGATTAGGATTACGAAGTCCCGGTGTGAAGCAGATATTAATCCCGGCTGGAATGAAAGTGTGTTGTTAATCACTTACTGATGACAGAGATAAAGTTCCCTAATATGGAAAAATGACATGGAAATATGGCAGCTCATGCAACATGATTCTCATGGTGATAATGAGAGGGAAATGGGCTGGAATGTGCTGAGTTTAACAGTGTAATAAAATGCTAATCTGCGATCTATTCGTCACATGCTTTGAGGTCATTTCGGTCAATCTGATATCTTAGATGGCGCACATGTGTTGCCT